GGAAGGAAGGAAGGAAGGAAGGAAGGAAGGAAGGAAGGAAGGAAGGAAGGAAGGAAGGAAGGAAGGAGAAGGAGAAAGAAGAGAAGGAGAGGAAGAAAGGAAGGGAGGAAAATAAACAAGTGCAGAATGTGAATCCAGCCAAATCCAGCTTATTCAACTAACCATGATTAAATAAACCACCGCCCAGGATCAGCAGCACCAGGCTCAGAGTGCGAATGCTTGTGAACTCAGATTTATGTCAGGCGAAGGTGCCCCAAAGCAAAGGTCCTGGATGGTAGGGACGGGGACAACACCATCCCCAAACCATGGCGTTCTGCAATAACCGAGCTGAAAAACGTTGGGACCACGTTCCCTCCGCCACCCCCCTGCAACCCGCGAGAGAGTTTCGTCTTCCCCCTTCCCCTTCCCTTTCCCATTTTTGGAAGTCTCGAGGACACTTGCTTTGCTCGGCCGGGCTAAAATGTAATTCATTATCTTCTGGAGCCCTTCCAGAGAGAGAAAGAGAGAGGCGAGGCAATGTGCCGAACCCAAGACGCCCAGAGGAGTTCCACAAGGCCTCACGGCCACGACTGGCTTTTGTTTCCTCTCCCCTTCTCTCCAACCGCCCGTGATCGTTTACGTGCTTTCGGGTGCCAGCTCTCGTATTCTCCAAATATCTTCCCCGGGTGGCTAATCAAGACAATATTGTCTTCAAGGGGTGGGCAGAGAGAAAGAGGAGGCAAGAAAAGCAGCGTGAGATAGCCGCTCTAGCCTGAATCCTGGGCCCAAGGGACCGAGTTCAGATCCACACTAAGCCACCAGGAAGCTGGCCATGGCGCTTACTCTCTCCTTCCCTGTCCTACTTAGTGGGGCGAAAGGGGGAGCACCACGTCTGGAGCATGCTGGGCAAACTTCTCATTGTTATTCTTGGCAACCGAGATATCAGCAAGGCCCGTTTAAGGGGTTGGGGATTTTCATTATTTTTTTTTTAAGCACACCTGATTTTGCCCCGTTCCATTGGCAAAACAGTGGGAAATCGCCCTGCCGACATTCAGCGCAGTCCTGGGACGACAGGATTTGCTGATGTTCCTGACTGACCCCCATCAGCCTCCAAACCCCCCCTTTATTGGAGGGTCTCCCTGTCACCCTCCGAGAAATCCTCCCTGGTAGCCATAGCAGTTCAGTTCCTATTATGGTTGCCACCAACACTTAACTGCCTACACCCTCCACCACGCTATGCTGGTCCCCGTGTTCTACCTGGCAAAACGAAGTGGTCTAGTACAGCTGGAATCCGGTAAAAACGGATTCACGTCTCTGACTAACTCCACTTTAGACCTCCTTGAGTTGAAATCTGGATGAAAAGATCTCAGCCGATTTCCGCAATGTTGGTTTTGGGAGAGGCATTACCTGCTTTTTTCTCAGCTTGGAAATCTGCTGTTCCACCATGGTGATTTCTCGGTCGACACGGTCCATGTTCTGGATCAGCTCCTCCTTCGAGAGCCGGGATGGCAGAAGATCCAGGTCCGAGTCAGGATGGGCAGAGGTGATGGGAGAAACAGGCTCCAGTTTACCAGTTATGCCTCGATCCTGCAAATGGGAAAGGGGAACGGAAGTTCATGAGAAGAAAGCTTCTTCTTCCTGTCTAGGGAGCCTCTAGGAAAAGGTACAGGATGTACTTCATGAACATCCAAAGCTTCCGTTGTCTGAATGTAGCCAAGGCATCTCGTTTGGACCCATTTATTTGGCAACTGTCCTTAACCCCTCACACAGATCCTCCTGTCTTTCCCCAGATGGCTCCATCTGTAACCTTAAACCAGGGAGAAACTGCCGAGCTGGCCCTCAAAACAGCTGCTTCACACCAGGAGACCTCATCCAAGTCGGCTATCTCAATTTCCAACTAGTGGGAAGAGAGACAAGACCTTCATTGTTCCGTAATACCAACTGTCACTCCCTCTGGGTCCTCCAGAAGGTTCCCCACCTTTATCCTCTCCCCACAACACAACTTCCTGTCTTTAGACAGCTGGCTGGGGAGGGGGTTGCCTTCTTTGAAGGCACCAGGAGACAAGTCCCTCCATCATCTTGGCAGGCTTATGACTTTCTTTGGACAGAATGCCTCAGATACCCTATTCAGCCCCCCGACCCCAACTGCAAAAGATTAACCATCTCAGCTTCTTCCCAGGTTGAAGCATGGCCAGCTTTATCATGGCTAAAGACTGGAACCCTAAGGGCACACCTTCTGCTTTCCAGCTCAAACACGTCCCCTTTTCTGTGGCTCCAAAAACAAGGCCCCTTCACCTCCCAACGGGGACAAGTTAAAGGTTGCCAGAATGCAGCATTGCAGGATCAGTTACACCTACTCGGCCTGCACATCTGAGTAGCTTCAAGCACTCCAAGTGGGTGATTCCAGCCGAGACGCACCCCAAATGCACGGAAGCCCAAAACACAATCAAGATGAGACAAGGCCTGCTATTTTTAACCCTGGAAAATGAGATGGATGAATTCTTCCTCTCTTCCTAGCACTGCTCTGGCTGCTAGAACTTCTCTGAGCTTTTGCACATCTCAGGATGAGGGGAGGGAGGGCAAAAACTAGGTTAAATGAAGCCACAGATGTGCAGGTCTCAGAGCAGTAAGTGGAAACTCCCTCCGTTGCTCTCTTACTGTTTCGACTGCAGTTTCCAGCAGTTTTATGGCTCTCTTTCAGGATTAGCAAACCCTAAGACTAACCTAAATCCAGGTGTTACATCTCAACTCCTAGAATTCTCAGCAAAGGTTACGCAGGCTGGGGAATTCTAGGAGCTGAAGTCTTAGGAAGGCACTCCAGGTAAGGAAGGGCACCTGAATGTTTGCTAACAGCTAAGAAAAGAATTCGAGACCCATTCAGGTCAAGGGAAACCCATGGCTGAACATCTGGTCTGCATGCAGGAAGACCTGGGTTCAGAACATGAGATCTCCAGGTAGGACTTGAAAAGATACACCCCCCTGTTTAGATGATCTCTGATTCATGCAACAGCTTTCACAGGCTGCAAGAAGCCACAGCAGTTTCGTCAACTGTGACGGGTGGCACGTTACCAAGCCTTGCTAGAGTAAGAAAACGTCCTGCGTTCACACTTAGCACGACAAAGCCAACGCTTCCCCTTATTCCTTATCGAATTCCATTTCCCCAAGAAAAAAATGCAGCCCACAAAATGCGTCTGCAGTTGGAAAGGAAGACCATTTAAAAATAAAAGCCCATAATTCACTCTTTCCACAGCCTTCAATCAGGAGCAAATACCCCGAAGAGAGACTCAGCAAATCTCTCTTGGCCTTCTTCAACCAAGTTGGGTCACGAAAACGCAACTCTGAATCATACGTCCTGGAAAAGCTCCCTCAAGCAAGAGATCTCCAGCTTTGTGCCACCACCCACAACAATTCTTGGAGAAGGCTGCTGTGGCGGTTGGGAAAAGTTAAACCCAACAACGTCTTTCCATTCATCAACTTGATCTCCCCTTGGGGAATTTCATCAACGTGCAAAGAGCCCTTTTGGAAACCGACAATCCCCAACAGGCGCTTGCTGTTCATTGGGATTTCTTTGGTGGTGAAGTTAATTATATATTACTAAACACAACCATTTTGTGCAAAGGGTGCTTCCCTTTCTAAGAGGACGCACAGATGTGATCCAGCAGAAGGCCTCTTCAGAAGAGGCATTCCTTCTCTAAGGAAGAGGAATGCCTCTATTAATTAATGCAAAAAAAAAAATCATTAACTGACCAGGGGAGGTAGAGTAATTCTTTTTAGATAGATCTGGCTTTTTATCCTAAGCATTTAAAAAAAAAATGTTCAAGAGTTGTGTTGGGCATGGAAAGGTTCGACACTACCCACAATGGAGGAATGAAGAGGATGGAACTTGCAGAGATGGCTAAATTAACTTCTTTGATCAGAGAAAAAAACAATATCTACATTTATGGCTGACTTGAAACCCCTTACAGATTTTTTGCATGAAACAGGAAAAAATGCACTTATGACTTGTGGTTTTGATGATTAGAAAAAAATTGGATAACAGAAAAAAATGAGCTTTTTTTGTCATCATAGAGTAAGAAATAATTTTGTAATTGTACTTATATTTGCTGCAAAGAAACTGGAAACTGGAAAGAAACTAGCTTGCTTCTTTCTTTCTTTCTTTCTTTCTTTCTTTCTTTCTTTCTTTCTTTCTTTCTT